AAATCAAATTCTTCTCATGTCCCTGAATGCTCTGACATGGAAATAAAGCCGTACTCCAGAGCTGTTCTCTTTGTCTGCACAGGGACCTGAAGCAGAGCAGGCAGCTCAGCTTGGCCAGTGCAGTCCAATCAGACAAAAGCCCACTGCTGATCAAACTTCTTCTGATAGTAACCTCTTAATCATCTTCAAACCACCCAAAAAGAGCTCACCCCACCAGAGGTAGCCTGCTATTGTACTTTACCGTGCTTGCCAAGTAGCCTTTAGTCTCTTTTGCTTAATACATGATTGAATCCTTGCTGAGTACCCGAGCTCTCCCAGCCAGCCTGATGTGCAATGCTTTTAACAGGCAGCTTTGCTAATCCCCACTCCTGCAGAACCAAACCCTCCTGCTTCATCTGCACAGAGCTCTGGTGTTAATAGCAGAATTAGAAAAGCATTTTCCACTTCTCTGTTACAAAAAAGAAAGCTTCTATAGAACTCTTAGAGTCACAACACCCTTTTCTTTGGAGAGCTCTCCACTGATAGACAGAATTGCCCTCAAATTACAGACACTGCTACTGGAGATTTCTTAATAGCTCCTTTTTTTTTTAGTTGGGAGAGCCCCAACAGGGTGAACTTGCACCACAGGAGCTCACGGTAAAGCTGAAAGACTGGTTAAACCCCACAGAACTGTTCAAACTCAAACTCTATCATCTACAATCTATCTTATGTTCAGTATTTCTAATTTAAATATAATTCCACACAATGGATTAAAAGAGAGCTATTAGCAGAATTTGCTTAAAGCATGTATTTCTGAATCAGCCCTAAACCCCCATGCTGTGTCAGTGTGCTATGTTGTATTCTGGAAGGAATTCTAAAGGAATTCTGTCAAGCTGCCTCTTGCCCAGAGGAAACCCTTCAAGACAGGATGCCCCCGAGATGGGCCAAGCATGAGTCTTAAGCCTCATGCTTGAGAGGTGCCCCTAAAATGTGATTATTGGGAAATTTCGGTGTCAGTTGTGGCTGAGGTCTTGCAAACACTGTCATGTGCAGGAGTTAGAGGCAGAAGTGACCCCCGTGACAAGACAGCGTGGCAGAGAACATGCTCCCCTCCTTCTGCTTCCAGGCACAGCAAGCAGCAGAGCCTTACTTGTATTGGCATTGGAGAGCTCAAGAACTCTTTCCAAGAGGAAGAGGAGGCTGCCCCTAAACCTCTTTGGACACTTAAGTTCTGTCAGAGACCACCAAGACTCAACTCTGTAAACACCTCATAAATTACACCTGCAGAATGCCAGAGAAGGAAGAGACCTCCCTGCCTACCAGTTGAGGAAGGCTCAGCAGGAAAGCACACTTGTTTGCTTCCACAGCTGCTGACACAGACGTCTCCAGACCTTTTCTCTCATAATTCTGGCACTGGGCATCATGGAATGCTGCAGCTAACAGCTATTTTTCTGCCCAAATAGGACAAAGTTAATTTGGGAGTAAAGAACATGTATCTGCCTGGTTTTGTGAGCTGAAGCTCAATAGTTGTAACATGGGGGAAGAACAGGGCTGCCTCTCACCTGCATGCCCAGGAGGCAGTTAGCAGTGCTGCTGTAGTCACTGACCTGGCAAGAACCTGCTGTTGGTCCACAGGCAGGGCCATCCCCTCAGCAGTCACAGCCACCCCTGTGGCAGCACTCCTCCTGCTCACACCACCAGTGTCCTGGACAGCCTGAGGTGCTGCTGGGTCCTGAGGACAAGAGGAAACCAAAAGCCCCACCTCTGATAAGAGCGAGCACCAGAGCATTGGCATTACCCACTCAGGTTTATTCAACCTGGTGAGGAGAAGAAGCCTGAGGGGTACCTGGACTGATGCTAGTTCTTTACCTACTGCAGCAATAGTGTCTTTGGGCAAAGGTGGCTCATCAGGAGCAGTTTCAGTCCTTGCGGCAGCTGAAGAGTAAAAAAGGGAATACCCACAATGTCAGCAACAAGCACTGCAAAACTGAGCATAAAACCTGGGAAAACATCACACAAAGTCTTCATCAAACACTAGGAACATTGTGTCTGGAAGGAAAAGGTCTGTTATGTACCTTCTTATGCTGGTCAGTAAAAGCCATCAGGGTTTTTATATACCCAGAGGACATAGCAGGGTAGAAACACAGGGGCTGGGAGAACCTGGATCCTCATGGTTGCACACAAATAACACCCTTGTATTTCAGAGGCTGGGAAGTGGAACATTTGTAATCAGATGGGGGGGGGAACCTCTCACCTTAGAGAGTGATAGCATCAAAAATGAAGGATGTATGTTCAGGAATGAATACTGGGTGGTAAGTGCTGTACAAGCACATTGCAAAACGTGCTCTGAGGCACTGTGGATGTGTAAATGGAAAGCAGAAATGGAGAGCTGGCAGCAGTTTATAGGTATGTGAGAGGAATATCCACCCTCCAGCAGAGTGACGGTGGTGATAATTCACCAGGAGACCAAGGGCTGCATCCCATTGACATGCAATGGAACAGACTGCAGCAGCCACCCTCAGCTTGGGTGTGTGAGTTGTGCAAAGCCAATGGGATCAGGACAGAGCAGCGCCTGCCAAGACCAGTCACCTCTGCAGCTCAAACCCCTGCTCCAGAGAAACCTGCCCTCAGGCAGAAGAAACTCACAGCTACATGGGCAAAAGAAATCACATTTCATGACCTCAAGGATTACCGGCAGGGTGAGGCTAGTCCTGACAGGGAAAAGAAGTCAGGGAAGTAGGGAAGAGGACAAAGCTGGGTCAGAGTCTTATGGAGAGCTGGAGTTACCATTCCTGCTGTTGATAAGGGCAGGTTGAGAGCAGGGACTGCTGTAGCTGGGGGTGGCACTTGCTGCAGTAGCAATCGCTGCCACTTGAAAGTGGCTGGGCCAGATTTGACTTCACGAAAGCAGCTCCTCCCTAAAGCAGGAGGGAACCCTCAGCCTGGCTCACACCCTCCACATGCACACCTGCTTCCTTCCGGAGGCTCTCCTCCAGAGCAGACAGCTTGAGATCACAGTGGGTCCTCAGGCTACTGATGTCTTCCTCCAGGCGAGCACGGGATGCCTGCTCTGCTTCATAGCTGGCCTTTAGCTGGGCCAGTCTCTCATTGTACTCCTGAAAGGCACAGCACACAGCTTGGGCACCATACACAAGGTCCCATCGAGGTCACACTCATGTCCATCCCAGTAAAACTTTCCCATCATAGATTCATTTGACTTTTACTGTGATTTAAGGCACCACAGTAGTGATGGAAGGGGACTAATTAGCCCTAGAAACCACTGTCTTAGGCAGATGTGGTGACCTGGAAGGAGCTCTGTAAAGAGCAAGGAGCTAGTTTTATTTCCTTCTGGCCCCCAACTCCTCATTCTTCCTTCTGCACCATATCCCTTCTTTATCTTCACCCTTGTACTGTTCCTAACATCTTTGACTACTGCTTTCCTCCTCCCCATTTCTCCCTCCTCTAAGAAGAATCTAAGTTTCACTAAGTTTCACTTCAAAAATTCTTCTTGGGAATCCATTCTAATTCATCTCAGAGAGGTGGGAACAATGCTGAGAGAAAACAGCATTGTGAACAAGGCCTCCATCAGCACGAGTTCTGTCTATAGGAGAAAACCAAAATAGCATCACAGAATCCTAGAATGGTTTGGGTTGGAAGGAAACTCAAAGCTCACCCAGCTCCAACCCCTGCCACGGGCAAGGACACCTTCCACTAGAGCAGCTTGCTCCAAGCCCCTGTGTCCAACCTGGCCTTGAACACTGCCAGGGATGGGGCAGCCACAGCTTCTCTGGACACCCTGTGCCAGCACCTCAGCACCCTCCCAGGGAAGAGCTTCTGCCTAAGAGCTCATCTCAGTCTCCCCTCTGGCAGGTTAAAGCCATTGCCCTTGGCCTGTCCCTACAGGCCCTTGTCCAAAGCCCCTCTCCAGCTTTCTTGTCAGTCCCTTAGGAAGAAATATAGGAAGAAGTAGTATAGGAAATTCTGAAAAGGCTGAACCACACAGCCCCACACCATACTTGTAATGATTATTATAAAACTCCACAAGCCTTAGTCAAAGACACTACAGGATACCTCCTCCTGACTTACTTCTCTGATCAGCTGCTTCTCTGCTTCAAGATCTACCTGGGGTTTGAAGAGGGGAGGCGATTTCATTGCCAGGTGAGCAGTCTCAGCATGCAGAAGCCCTGCAAAGCAAAGCAGAACTAAAAATCACTCACAATTTCTGGGTGGGATTGTCTGTAGAATGCTGGAAACAGAACAAAGAACCTGGCTGCTGGCAAAGAACATCACAATCCGGGTGCTCCTTTAAACTGTGCTCATGTGCCAGCATCTGTGCTGCCAAAACACCCACTGGCCTGTGCCTCTGTAGGTGCAGGAGAGAAGGAGTCAGCACAGAGCAGAGCGGGAGAGGTGTAAGCTTTGGGTATATTAAAGTGAATATAAATCTAATCTCCTTCACAGAGTAATAGGAGAGTCTTTTCCAGGGCTATGCTAACAGGTTTTGAAGATAAGAGACAATGGCAAGGAGATGAAAGGTGCAAGGAGATTGCCTTTGTTCTTCACAGATGTTTCTGAAAGGTGGCAGAAAAGGGGAAAAAAATAATCTTACAGTCTTCTTGCTGTGCTTGAAGTTGTGCTTTTTTTTTTGTGGGGGTTATTCTCAAAAGGGGATCAGCTCCCTAAGAATGCTCTTATCACTTGGCTCCCACATTTGCTACTCCTATTTTATAGCAAGGAGCATCTCTGAGGCCGAGCTGAATCCTCAATGGGAACACAGTGATGCTGTCTGTAAGCAGCGACTAAAACTCTTGTAGCACCAAAAATTCACAGCGTAGGAGAACAGGGTCTGAGTGCTAACTTTGGAAACACAGATACATATATATACACACAGATACACAGTTAATAGAGAATTTTACATTGCTATTTCTTTTACAGCTCTTTTTTTCTCTGTCAGCTGAAATCTCTTCTCTTACTAACCAAATTCAATCCAGAATGAATGACCAAGGAGAATCAAGGATTTGAATCATGTCATCTTCTAACAGAATCAGTCATTATTGAAAATAGTGGATAATTGAGATGTTTTTTACCAGTGGAATGAGGTCGATTTGGCAACAGTGGAGGAAAAGTCCATTACCAGAATGAAGAACTCTTCCTCCAACAGGTAAGGGAAGGGTTGAGGTGAAATCCAGTGAGCATTTTAATGTAAACCCCTTTTTCCTGACAAAGATAAAACATCTCTGCAGCCACTAAGGGCTCTCCTACCTGCCAAGTTACTCACGCCCATCTGTTCAGCTAGAATGGCCTTCAGTTTCTTAATCTCCTCCTGATACTCCCTCAGCAGAGTATCCTTGGGGTCCTCATTGACACAGGGCTTGTTCTTGATGTTTTTGGCTCGATTAGCATAGCGCAATGTACTGAGGCTCTCATCATAGTTGTTCTCAGCTGGAGATAAGCACGCAACCATCAGAGTCTTGGTGTTCCCCCCAAGGGAGTCCTGCAGCAGCCTGGTCAGCTTGGAGTCTCGGTAGGGGACATGCTTACACTTGCCATCAACCAGGGCTGAGATGACGTTGCCCAGAGCTGAGAGGGAGAGGTTGATTTTGATGGCCTCTTTGAGCCGCTCCCCCACAGCTCGAGTTTTTGACTGTCTCTCGCTTCCTGCCAGATCCACTAAACTGAGTTTTGCAGCCCTGAGGTGGTCCAGCCCTTGCTCATCTGAGAGAGAACAATTCCAGATTAGGCTCTTCTTAAGAGGAAGCATCTTAACATCTTTTAGTGCTTCCTTGAACAAGATCTTGCAGGGTAAAAATTCATGCCCATTTTTATTCACCCAGCAAGTTCTGAACACACACACACCCCCCTCACATATTTCTACAGTGTTTAGAATTCTACACAGGTAACAAGGTCAGACCATGAATGCAAGAAATTGGGACTGTGCTCAGCCCGAACCACCTGGATGAGGAGACGGATCTCAGTGAGTGAGGAGACAGGCCCAGTGAGCTGATGCCATTCCCATCATAATGTTTTAAGGCAAGAAAAGACATGAGCTGAAGTTACAGCTGGCTCCCCAGCTACTTAAGTGCACACCTTACAAGTGTATCATGCTTCCTGCCTTGCATTTTGAGGCTGGAATTATGTGTTGACACAAATTCCCTGTGATGTGCGTCCAGTCGCTTTAGGAAGTCCTCAGTTTCAGTGGCTAACTTAACTTGCCCAGCCTCATGCAGAGCAAAGAGTTGGACACACATTCCCAGATCCCAGACTACTGTTTTAAGCCCTGGACCATGCTCTTGGGTGTCCATATCCCAGCCATTCCTTAGATTGCTGCCTAAATTCAAGGGAAGAGCTCCCTTAGTCATCCAAGCAGAGAAAGCATCAAGGTTTTAACCAAGACCACCCTTTTCTGGACAGACTTTACAAATCCCAGCCTTGAATTGAGTCAGAGTTAAGATTTATGGCTGTGGACAATACCTAAACTTGAGCAATGAATAATCTGATGCATGAGGGAAAAAGTTCACAGGTAAACACACACACACACACACACACACACACACCCCCCAGAAAAAAGACCCTTACATTTTATTGCCACAGGGTATTTCCCCACTTACAGCGATAGAATGTTAACTGTGCAACCTAACATTTGCCACCAAAAAACTTGTTTCATTCCAGATCTTTCTGGTGTGTCAAGACATGGGAGGACAGGAAAAAAAACAGATGGAGCTGAAACAGAGCACCTCTCACTATCTCTTCTGAGTGGCCAATCACAAAAAGAGCTTCTGACCTTTTCCCTCCTTCCCCCAGTTTATGTTATCACTGAGAGGCAATTAAAAAGAAGGTTTGGTTCCTGCCCGTCCTTTGCCCATGGTGACTGTTTCAGTCTTGGAGCTCCATGTGTTGGTTTCCATGGTGTGACAAGGTCCCCAGGCTCTTGCTAAATGTCTGCAGCAGCCTGAAAGTCTTGTCTCATACTCACACAGCCCATTGCACAAGCACTGGCTATCATCCTCATTAACAAATGAATCCTTAAGCACAAGGTAAAGGAATCAAACATCTGCTACTCTTAACTGCAGCAAAAATACTGATGGTAACTTGCACATCTCAAACATCTGCAGCCAGAGAGCCTGGTATTTGCCATCATTCCTGAATGTGGTACTTTAAAAATGAGTAATTTTAGTCCACATCATTGCAAAGAGATCCTTTAAAGCAGCAGCTCCCTCTAAATTACCATTTACTATAGGTTTAACTGGAAAATAAGTTTGAACTACTCTGTGCACCTCTTCAAGAAGCCTGAAGATGACAACAAAACCACCAATTTCATTAGCTGTTTCAACTAATGATGACACCAGTAGAAGTTACAGGAGTTATGCCTGACCCCACAACTCTCTCCTCAGATATTCCAGCTGTCTCCTATTTAACTGCCAAACCAGCAAGTTTCCCACCTGCCATCCTGTTCCATGTAACAAGTTTTCAAAGCTTTAAATCAGAGAAATTCAAGCTAGATTAGGAGCCCTGCACCAATCTGGGACACAAGAGTGTAAATGTTTCTTTTTCCTTGTTAGGATTAAAGTTGGGATTTTATGGACCCACATAGTGCAGGGATTAGCATTCACTGGCTGTGCTAATTGAGAAATTCTATCCCCCCTCCCATATTGTGGGTAGAGGAAAATGAGGTCTTGTCACCAACATCTGGAACCACAATTTAGGAAGACATTGTGTAACTTTCCCATGACTGAAACAGCTGAAGAAAACGAAGCCAAATTGTTTGCAGCCTTGGTGAGGTCAAGAGAGAATATAGGAGACTAAATCCTTTCTTAGTCCCAGAAAAAAAAAACCTTTTGATGTCTGTGTTCAGACCAAGCAAGGCAGCTTTATCAGCTAAAGAACTGTCAATGGAAATGAGATATTTGAGAAAAGAAAATTATTCACTAAAACATCATGAAGGGATTCTTTTATTCTGTCTTTAAAAGATAAGCCCTATGATTAAGCTCAGTGGAGGAACTGTTGCAAGAAATGATATGACTTGCATTGCAAAGGAGGGCAGACCAGACAGGTAATGACGGAAGTTTCTCCAGTCACTGTATGGGCTGTGAGATTTAGCCCCCTTCACTGGAGAAAAAGGTTGAAGAAGATAAAGGAATAGAAAGAGAATTAAATCTGTTCCCAGTTTGAGTGTAAGACATTTCAGTCCCAAGGGGGAATCGAGGAAAAGAAAAAGACTTTGGCTACTCAGCCATTTCACACTGTGAAGAATGTCCACACCAGGGCACAATTCTGATGTCTACCAGACCTCAAATCTTTTAGGCTCCCAGTTTAGCTGCAGGGTGTCTGGTCAGACCACACAGATTCTGTGCTCTGCCAGGCCCAGGCCTACCACAGCACATCCAGCTACCTACCTACGGTGCAGATCTCCATATTGACAGTGAAGATGGCGTGGGACCGGGATGAGTCCTTATTCATGAGGGTGTAACCCACTGCACGGTTGCCGCAGCCTTTCTCCATGAGCTGCTCACACTGTACCACACTGTGCACAGTGTGCAGAGAGAGCCCCTTCACATACACCCCCTTCTCTGGGTGCTCCTTCAGCTGGAAACAGAGGGAACACAAGACAGGTTAGAACAAGACATACTGAGACTGCAGGAAGTCATGCTGGGAACTGGAAGCTCGAGGGCTATGGGAGTTTTGCCTTTCAAGTTAAACAATGCCAAGGCAAAACAGTATCTGACCGCCACTAAAAAGCTGTAGTATTTCCGAAGAAGGAATAAAACCAGACAAAAATAAGGAACCTGTTTCATGGCTCTGCAGGAAAAAAGAATTAAAGTTTGCTGATTGATTCAGACATCTCCTGCCAGGCCATGAGAAACTCAGGTTCTCTGTGCTGAGCCGCCTTCTGCCTCCCCTGTTATTAAGCTGTGCATTTGAAAAGAGAACTGAAATGTTTTTCACCCATTACGGCAAAGGCTCCAGCATCTCTTCACTCATAGGGAGCTTTTGTTAAAAGCAAAGCACAGATTCAGCAGTCACAGACACTGTCACTGGTGCTGTGCTGAACCCCTCCGCTCTGAGAGGGCGGCTTGATCCCTCTGACAAAACTCCCGAAGTCACACCCAGCACTCTCAGGATTTTTCTCCAGATAAGTTCATTCTTAAGATGCTCTAAAACCCTATTGAGGCACCCGGGTGGAAACAGAGCGGTAAATACCAAAGAGCAGCTTTTCAGCAATTATCAATCATGCAGAAGAAAAACTTCATCCTGCATCCAATAAATGACTAAATGTTCCAAATCTTGACCGACCCATCAAACCTACATAAAACTCCCAAAACAATTGAGATCTTGCACGCCCCCCTCCACACTCTGAATTTAAAGGAGCTGGATTCATTTTCAATAGCTACATTACACCCCACATCTGCTGAGTTCATAACCAAAAGTCTATTTTTATGGTGGCAGCTGCAATATGATTGTCATGACTCGGTGTCACAGAGTGATAGATGCTACATTTGGCAGTGTGACTCCCAGAGAAGAGCCCCAGATACCTGAATGATGCACTTGCCACAAAAAGCTATGTAAAACAGAGTGTTTGCTGTTAAAAACTCTGCACAGAACTGAGTGGAAGTGGCTGGAAACTAAACCAGGCAGGATTTTAGCCTTGTTTCAAAGTTGTGGCTGGCCAGAATGAGCCCAGATACAGAATCACAGTGTTCACACACTGTGACTTTTGCCTGTGCTATAGGAGAACCCTGTGGCTGGCACAGCTGTATTTGAGGATGCTGCAGAGTCCCTGAGGAGCAGGCAACAGAGGACACGGCTGTTTCATTCCACCACAGATTAACAGGGGCATTTCCTTACAGAGCTCTGTAAAACTTACTCTTCACATGGTTTCATACCACAGGAGGTGACTGTGGGCTTCAGAATCATCAGTCATTGATGTTAAAAGGCAAGAGCAATCAGAAATGGAACTCTGGAGGAGAATTGTGAGACACAGGAAATCCCAAACACAACTACAGGCTGGGCAGAGACTGGATGGAGAGCAGCCCTGAGGAGAAGGATGGTGTTTGGTGAGAGGCTCCTCATGACCTGGCTTCAGTGGGGGCTTGAGTCCAGAACTCCCCCGTGTGCTGGGCTGCACCCCCAGGGCGTGAGCAGCAGGTCAGGGAGGGGATCCAGCACCTCTGCTGTGCTCTGGGGAGACCCCCCCTGCAGCCCTGATCCAGCTCTGGGGCAGCAGCACAGGAGGGACCTGGAGCTGCTGGAGCAGGGCCAGAGGAGGCCATGGAGATGCTGCGAGGGCTGGAGCAGCTCTGCTCTAGAGCCAGGCTGAGAGAGCTGGGCTGGGTCAGCCTGGAGAAGAGAAGGCTCCTGAAGGGGAGACCTTAGAGCAGCTCCAGTGCCTGAAGGGGCTGCAGGAAAGCTGGAGAGGGGCCTGGGACAAGGGATGTAGGGACAGGCCAAGGGGAATGGCTTTAACCTGCCAGAGGGGAGATTGAGATGAGCTCTTAGGCAGAATCTCTTCCCTGTGAGGGTGCTGAGGCGTGGCACAGGGTGCCCAGAGAAGCTGTGGCTGCCCCATCCCTGGCAGTGTTCAAGGCCAGGTTGGACACAGGGGCTTGGAGCAAGCTGCTCTAGTGGAAGGGGTCCCTGCCCGTGGCAGGGGGTTGGAACTAGAGGAGCTTTGAAGTCATTTCCAACCCAAACCACTCTGTTATTCTCCGATTAATTCTATGATTCAGTGACACAGAAGAAAGCACTGGGTCAGTCTGGCTTTTCTTTCTCCACAGGACACAAGTCCCCTAATTACTGGGTGGAGGCAGCAACAGGCAGCTGCTGTTACCAGTGGGATGGTGTTACCCTGGCAACTGCTCTGCCCAACTCCTGCCCTCCCAGTGCCAACTGCAGTCGTCATAGAAACTGGTGTCACTGCTGATGTGGAACAAAAGCTGGGAAACTGCAGCAAGTGCCTTCTGAACCATTCAGTCCCCTTCTCCCACCCTGCCTTCTACATGCACAGGCCGACCACACTTGAGGGGTTTGCCTCCTTTAAAGCCCTGGTAAAACAATAGATCTGCCCCGGAAGGTGGGTCTGTCACCATCTCCTGTGCAGAAGGATGGTGCTAGTGCCTCGGGTTTCTTCACCCGGGCAGTCCCGCAGGGAAGGAAATTGGACAGGAGATCTGCAGCTCCCACCAGGAATGCATGCAGAAAGATCTGCAAAGCCACTAAGAAGGAAAAATCAGCCCCTGCTTGGGATTTCAGGACTGTTTTCCTTCCTGTGCTCCTGGAAACAGCCTGCCTTCCCCATATGTGCCCATGGGGAACAATGTCTGCTGCATCTCCTCAAAGAAGGATCAGCCTTTTTTGTTTTAGACAGATAATGAGATCATTCACAGCTACACTACATCAGATTTGTATGGCACAGAATCCTCCTGCTTTAGAGACAGCTATGAGAGGAAGAGATTAGGAAGAAATTGCCCCATCAGTACTTTATTCCATCCTTGTCCAGTAATGACTTTCACACTAAGCTGTCGGCCACTATCCAGTTGCACACATGGGACATGTCTGACCGGATCCTGTTCCTCCTGTCACTGAACCTTCACTAAAGTCCCTCAAAATCTCCTCTTGGCTTTCATATTCATCACTATGATTTCATAGTCTGGCATTCATCTTCTGACAGAGCATATTATTGCACTTCTGTGAGACATTCATGATAACACTTATCTGAAGAAATTAAAGCACTTCCTAACTAAGACAAACTGACTCCGCCTCACCTCCAGCTTCTGCTTGGTATCAGCTCCTAGTAGGTCTCGTATGTCTTCATTGTAAATCTCCAGGTAGGAAACTCTCACTAAGAACTTGGTATTTTCAGCACACTGCACCAAAGAGGAAGGATTTTCAGGTGATGTTCTCCAAATGGAGGCAAGCAGGCAGCCCACGTTGCCCCTTAGCTCCAGCTGGGTGCCTTCAGCACTTCATCAAATCTCTGCTGGCATTTCATTCCCAGGTGTAACCACTCCACACACTCACTATAGGGACTTTTGGTCCTTAAACAGCTCAAGTGGGAACCCATGAAGTCACACAGATGAGGGTGCAGCTTATATGACTGTATAGGAGCCTCAACTTTAGGAGAGGCAGCATACCCAAAAGCCTGGCCCCGTTCTTGCTGCTGAGTGCAATCAGCACTCGCTCCTCAGGGTATGACACAAGAAACATCTTTCTAGATATCATGCCATCTTACAACAGAACCTCTTTCATGTTGTTACCTACCTGCACACTCTCAAAAATGTGTTCAAATGCCCTGGGAATTATGCCTTTCTGTGCAGAAGGCTCCACAACTCCCTGCATGGTGAATGACTTCCCACTGCCAGTCTGGCCATAGGCAAATATGGTGCCATTGTAGCCTTCGGTGATACCCTGGAAAGGGAGGACAATCAAACAGAAAAGCCATTATCTTCATCCTTTGATAACTGGAAATGCACTGTCCAGATTCAATCCCACCTCAAAAAAGGTATTTTAGGGGAAAAGCTGGCAATAAACATCGAACAACTACTTGGTCTTCACATGTCATCAGAATATAACAATTAAATAACATATTCTGCTAGCTTATAAATGGAAAACCTGCAGAAATGCAGGTGTTGAAAAGTGGAAGGGCAGTTGACAACACTTAGAGTAGCAGAGTATTTTTGTCATAGGGCAGAAAAGTCTTGTGAAAACCAGAGACATAAATGGAATGCCAGAATAGGGTGGCCAAAGGGATGCTCTCTAGCTTAGAGCTGTTTTCTCTTGGAGAGCTGGCTGAAAGAAAGCCTCACCTTCACTTGTTCCTATTTCAGAGAAGCATGGGAGGAACATTAGACATTTGGATTTCTTAAGGTTTAAATAAGAACCCCTCCAACTATTACTCTAATAATGTACTGTTTCAGACCCTGCTTGTTCCCATGATCAGGAACTTCCATCTTAATACCATTAGCCGTTTCATCCCTTCTCCTAACAAAATTGGATTCTCTGGGGGGATGTTGGGCTTTTTCCCCCTTAACTGCTTCCTTCCTCACCCTGGCTGCTTGCCATGCAGCAAATGGATCCCCTCTCATTTTACTACTCTAAACCAGGCTGAGGTTGCCTGTCTTCAGTGAAAATATCCCTAAAGCCATCAGGACGATCGTTTATTCCCTTCTTCCCACATCACCTTCAACTGCAGTTTCTAGCCAGCCACCATCCCTAGGGCCTGCTCAGGGGGTTCATCTTTCATATAAACATCTGCCTAAAACAATTTAATGTAATTCTGTCCTCAGTGCCCCTCTGGCTGCTGAAAAAGTTGTTTTCCTTCCCAATTTCCCAGCCCACTGCTGGGACACTGTTTTGCCCACCCCAGGGTTGCAGCTAAGCCTTTTGAAGCAGGAAACAGGGCTGTTTCTGTCCATAAATCATGCCAGCTGGGGGTCACCTATCAATGTGAAACTCCTCAGCCCATGTCCCGAGCTATGTGTTCATAGAATCGCAGAATGAACCAGATTGCCAAAGACCTTTAAGCTCATCAGTTCCAACTGTTCCTCAGCACTGCCAAGGCCTCATCTACCCGGTATGTGAACACTTCCAGGGACGGTGACTGCAGCCTGTTCCTGTTGCCTGTGTCCCTGTGTGCATGGCTTGCTTCAGGCACCACTCACCTCCACGAGCGGGTAGGCAATCTCATTGTAGATCTGCTTCGTGCTGTGCTCCTTGCAGTACGCCCCATCGAAGGTGAACTGCTTGGGGGGCTCACCGGCAGCAGCAGGGTTCTGGAGGAAGCACTGGCCCCGGGTGCTCTCCATGCTCACAACCGCCTTGCAGCCCAGAGCTCTCTCACGCACGTTCATGGGCCGGCAGCGCACGATCACCTTCACCGCCTCCGAGGCCATTCAAGTCCTGGCCCGGCTCAACCCCACACGCGCTCACTTGAGGGGCCTGGGAGGGCCTAACCCCGAGGCCTGCACCCCCGCGTGGGGGGCAGCGCTCACCAGGTACTGGGGGCACTGAGGGGATGGAGCCCCCCACAGCTCGGCATGGGGAAGGAGAGGCAAGGAGGGCTGGGCGAGAAGGGGAGGCTGCAGAGGAGGAAAGCTTGGGGAGGGTGAAGGGGAGACTCGGAACCAGCCTGAAGGGCAACTATGGCAGACGGGGGGGGGGAGGCTTGGGGGGGTGCAGCCTGAGGTAACTGCGGGGAACCCGGACGGGGACTGGGCGAGGCAAAACCTGCGGTGAGCCTGGAAGCGTCAGGCGCCTGCAGGCGTCAGGAGGCAAAGCCTGAGGGAGCCGAGGGGAACCCGAGGCGGGCCGGGGCGTGCGGAAGGAGCCGGGCAGCGGAACCAGGCCCGGCTCTGAGGGGACGCGGCGGGAACGCGGCCGGACACAACGCGCATGCGCGCAGCGACCCCACGCGGTTGCCACAGCGACCGGGGGAGTGGGAGGGGGGGGGAGACGGCAGCGCGGCGCGAGGCCACGTGACTGCGGGCGCGCGTGCCCGTGCGCGTGCAAGCGCGGGGGGGGGAACGAGAGCGTGAGCGCGCAAGAGCACGTGAGGGTAAATGCACGTGTGCAAGTGTGTGAGTGCAAGTGCACGGGTGCCCGAGTGCGGCTGTAGCCATGCGTGAGTGTGCAAGAGCACAGGGACCTGAGCGTGCAAGCACCTGGGAGTGCAAGTGCACGGGTGTCTGCGTGCGGCTGTAGCAGTGGGTGAGCGTGCAAGCACCTGGGAGTGCAAGTGCACGGGTGTCCGAGTGCGGCTGTAGCCATGCGTGAGCGTGCAAGAGCACAGGGACCTGAGCGTGCAAGCACCTGGGAGTGCAAGTGCGAGGGTGTCCGAGTGCGGCTGTAGCAGTGGGGGAGCGTGCAAGAGCACAGGGACCTGGGAGTGCAAGTGCAAGGGTGTCCGAGTGCGGCTGTAGCAGTGGGGGAGCGTGCAAGCACCTGGGAGTGCAAGTGCACAGGTGTCTGAGTGCGGCTGTAGCAGTGGGTGAGCGTGCAAGCACCTGGGAGTGCAAGTGCACAGGTGTCCGAGTGCGGCTGTAGCCATGCATGAGTGCGCAAGAGCACGAGAGGGCAAATGCACGAGTGCAATGTGTGAGTGCAAGTGCATGGGTGTCTGAGTGCAGCTGTAGCAGTGGGTGAGTGTGCAAGAGCACAGGGACCTGAGCGTGCAAGCACCTGGGAGTGCAAGTGCACGGGTGTCTGAGTGCGGCTGTAGCAGTGGGTGAGCATGCAAGGGCAAAGCGGCCTGAGCGTGCAAGTGCATGAGAGGGCAAGTGCATGGGTGTCTGAGTGCAGCTGTAGCCATGCGTGAGCGTGCAAGCACCTGGGAGTGCAAGTGCAAGGGTGTCCGAGTGCAGCTGTAGCCATGCGTGAGCGTGCAAGAGCACGAGGGCCTGCGCGTGCAAGCACAATCACGCAGTGCAGGTGTGCGTGCAAGCGTGAGCGCATGGTGCAGTTCTGCCAGCGTGCGCGGGCACCAGGGCACACGTGCACGGGCCTGCAAGTGCGCGAGTGTGAATTCACGAGGGTGCATGAGCGCGCACCGCGGTGTGAAGAACAGACCGGCAGCACGACAGCCATTTATTGCCAGCGCACGCAGCCGCGGGAGGGGGCAGATAAGGCAGACGGCAGCGGTTTAAAGCTCAATGGGGATTATCGGGGGGCCGGTGCCCTGGGGGGGGTGTGCCTGAGCTTAACCCCGCTCATGCTGCGCCCCGACGGGGCCGCTGGGGGCCCAGGCAGTGTCCCCCCAGGCGCTGGCCCCGCCACCGGGGTCCCGCTCCTCGTAGCCGGGGTTGCGGCGGCCAGGGGCCAGGCGACAGAAGCATCCGCCCGGTGCGGCGGAGTAGTGAGCCAGGAGCGTGGCCACGCTGGGGAACTCGGTGTTGGAGTGCTGCCGTGGGGGAGACCGGAGAGGTGAGACCCTGCGGTGCCCGTGCACTGTGCACCCCTGCACCAAATACCAGTGTCCCCAAATGCACCCGCAAACCCCACCAGTCCATGAGGATCAAATA